TTTTTTTTATCTTCAAGCATCTATGTCGTTGTATATTTAGCAATACCGTAATCACTGGTATTTTTCGCATTGAGACGATTTTAAAAGAATTTCGTAAATTTTTTAAAAGGAAGCGATCTTATTGACTTTAAGAATGCAATGATCAAAGGTTGTATGCGTACTAACATTGAAGTCTAATATCGACCAGGAACAAAATACACGAGGAGTACAATGTACATATGCTGCCAATTCCACGGGTACAAAGTTGAGCTGAATGTTTGAGGGAATTAACCTTTGTCTAATGCATAGACGTTACGCGCGATGTTCGTACATGTTTACAAGCGTAACACAACGTCGCGACGTTTTTATCTACAAAACGTCGTATTTTAAAGGTTTTTTTACGTTTATAATGTGATTGACCATAAATACGTGTTCCTTTGTTTTATTGTTTAGAGTAAAAAAATAGAAACAGGGAATGTGTCAAAAAGACAACAACCCGACCAAAAATGTACAAAACAATCAACGGCCAACAAAGGGCCTTCAACACAGTGAAAAATCCCGCATCCAGAGGCGAACTTGAGAAAGACCCGAAACACTATAATTGATGTATTGATCGGGGAAAGTGTTTGTTTGTATGTGAACAACACACCTTTTTTTCTTTTTTCTTTAAATATGATCAGTATGTGACAAACAATTATTTTAATTCCTTCATTGTTGATTTATATTGTATGAAAAAAACGATAGCAAGAATCGGGAGCTAGCTTGTTTGGAACGTATCGCTTATCGCACATGTATTTACAATTTCTTTTTCACTTTAACATATATTAAGGACATTCCAAGGATATGTACTACTTAATCTATATTTATTTCTTTTGTGAATAAATCAAAGATTATAATTTGTCATAGTAAACTTTATTACACTATCTAAGCTCAACTTTCCATTTCATCTAGTACAGATAGTATGTCCAGATGCACGGCTTCAGGAAGAGTAAGTGCAAATCGAGGAATTCACTCTTAACTGTGGTGAAATATAAATTACAGATGCCTCTGGTACAATTGCCTTTATTCGTCTAATTAATTTATATGACAGTTCTGATATATTTAAGTCTGATTTGAAGTACTGTCCTCGAATGATTTTTGTGTTTTTTCTAAAAGAAACACCCCAATCGTCAACTTCACTTGTTCTTAGTTTTTCAGGACAAGAAGATGCGCGCAATAAATAAAACTCGGCATTTTCTTCATCAGTATAAAGGGCGAGTACTGTTCCCTCTTCAATCAAGTCGGACATTGTATATTCATTGTCGTTTTCGTCGTCGTCTATAGTACCTTTGTCATCAGGTCTAATAGGCACGACCTCTTTGCGACCAATGGCGTTGTTTGTACACATGTTATAATTTCCATTCACACATTCTTCACACGAATAACATGACATATACCTAACTGTTAGTTTTTACGGTTCTGAATTTAAAACTTGGTGTAAACTTCTTATTCCCGGGATAGGTTTATATGCTTTAACCGAATCACGATTAATTGTATCTACAAAGCGAAATATTCTCCTCCTACAATAATGTGACTTCGTATCCTTTAGGTTTTTTTCACAGTAGTTAAAAAATTATGCGCATTTTAAACAACGGCGCTGCCTCGCAAAACTGCTAAATCGACGTGATTTTTAAAAAAAAACCTCCATCAGCATCCTGAGGCCCCTTTGCGTGACTTGTTTCAAAATAGTTCCTTATAAATAGATCGTAATTATTTTCAACACAAATATTTCGCAATGTACCGAAACAATTGCGAGATTTATATTTCACGGGACACCCGTCCGTAAATTCGTGAAAAACATTCACATTGTAACTAATCGAATCAAGATATTCTTTAACCAAAGACTGAACTTTACTAGTAAAACACTGGTCATGTTTTTCATCAGAACTGATTACGAAGAAATGTTCGGTTACGATACAGGGATCATCGGGAAAACTTTCAACACCATCAAGCTCTAAAACAGAATGTTTATAAATGATCGAACCATGAATCGTGACTTCTGTTCTCTGAAAATATGTCGATTGCACCTCCACCATTTCCTTACATGCATAGTTTTCTGAATAGTCATGAATCACAATACAATTATTTTGGGGTAAATTTTCCTTTAGAGATTTGAGTTGAACATTTTGCCAGTATGCGCGAAATTGATGACCTGCAAAATGATCTAAAACATGTTCAAAGTGTGCAAACATTTCAGACGGCTTTGAGCATTTCATACTAATGTGAGTTTTCTTTTATTATGCACTGTTATATACTCATATTTTTCCCAACTTACAGTTGGAGCCTCTGGGTGGTCACTAAGTTCCTGATCGGAGAAATCAAGTAAGCGCACACCACATTCGATGCATTTTCTATCAAGACAGGCTTTATTAAAACAGTCATTTGTTGTGTCTTTGCCACACAAAGTAGCAACCGCTATGTCGGTAAGATGCTCATATACGGGGAACCTATTTTTTTCTTCTTCCGATAATTGCGGGTGACTATGTTTCTTTCTAAACTCCATACACTTCAGAATAAGGACTTAGCCTCGACATGATAACGACAGCAACACGTGAGTCTGTCCTTTGGAGAAGCTGCTCTAACGAAAAATGGTTTCAAACGTTCAAAAGTTCTTTGGTTCATACTGATCTCAGGATATTTAATTTTGAATTCATGAAATATTTCTGTATAGTATGTTTTGAAAATTGTTTTGGTGCGATTCGAACACGTTTAATATCTGTTTTATTTGGGGACGGCCGGGAATTGTCGGGGTGCAACCAAAAGTCATATGCAATTTATTTGTATTTCATGAGAAATTGCGTCTTTTCTGGTTTTCCTTTGAATATATTTCCAACAGGACCCTTCTGAACTTAAAATTTTGGCTCTAACATTTTTTCCGCCGGAAATTTGTTTTACAGGAAGTCCTATTTTTTTTGCTAATAAAACCTTTTTCTTTTCATTTTGAACATTTGATCCATTTGTAGACGCCGTTATGATGCTGATTGCAGTTCTTGCACCATCTGTTCTTAACAACTTGGTTTTGTCGACAATTTCACGTAAATCGTGGATAACCGCCTTTCCTAGGTGTATGTCGTTTTTATCTTCTGGCGTTACAACAACCTTTATTTTTTCCAAATTGGAAACTGTCGGTGATTTTTTACTGCTTAAGTAAGAAGCCATTACTGCAGTTTTTCGGTTCGGCGTTAATGGTAAAGATTGTTTTAATTTTTTTAAGGTGCGACTTTTTTCCGTTCTATTTGCGAAAGTTTTCCGATATAGGGATATTTGCTCAACTACGGCAGTTTCCTTCGCAAAAGGATTGTTTTCTTTTTGTTTCCTTTTCTCTTTTCTCTTTTTTTGCTTTTTCTCTCTTTTCTCCTTTTTATTGCTGAATTTGTCATTGAAAGTGTTTGTTTTGGCTGTTTTGTTTCATTACTTAGTTTCTTTTTCAAATTATAATTTTTGTTTTTTTCTTTCATTTTCTCAATTTTCTTTGCTTTCCAGAGTTTTATTCTATCTGCGGCAGAAATCTTTACTTCTGTAAATAAAAGTTTATAGGGTCTCGGTCAAAGTTACATCTATTAATACAAATATCAACTGAAAGTATATAAATATGACAAATATTCATATCATAACCGTTTTCATAATTTCTGGAATTATTAAAAAAATATTTCGTAACGTTCAAAGCAAAACTTCGACTGAAACGTTGTTTTAAAGCAAGTGCGACATTCTTGTAAGACTCCGCAAAATCGACGGTGCTTTTTAACTACTTAGTCTTATTGAAAATTAATGTATTTTAGATTTTTGAAAAATTAAGAAAAATAACATTTAAAATAATCATAAAATTCTACCATTATTAAATAATATAGAGCTCTTATAATGGTAGAATTTTATGATTTTTTTAAATGTTATTTTTCTTAATTTTTCAAAATTCTAAAATACATCCATTTTCCATTAGTAGTAAATATAAAATTCTACCATTATAAGAGCACTGATAAGCAAACAATTGACGTAAATTTGAGTTGAGTTTGTTTTTATGTCAAAAAATGGCGGTGCGACAACCTTGTAAGCCTTTGAAAAATCGCTCATAAATTAGCAGATATCATTTTTCAGGATATTTGTCTTTAAATTCATAAAATTAAGCAAATTAACATTGATGTAGTAAATACAAATACTAACCTTTTTCCATTTTAGATAAATGTTTTTTGATTCTCAAATCTGTAATCCCAATTTTTTTTCCCGTGGGACAGATTTGCTCTTGTAGTATGGAACGCTTTTTTTTCTATGACGTCATTATAACGTCATAAAAAATGCATAAAAGACTGAAGGAACCTTTCTGTTAAATAATGGAAAAAACCGTTTTTCAAAATATTAAATAGTTTAGACGAAAATCATAGTTTAGTGGTTACAATAAATGAAATATGTTACGCGGGACAGCCTAAAAACAGCCGGTTTTTTTTTAAATGAAGCTTGTCGCATACAGCATAAAACATAGTTTCAACAATTATTTTTTTCGTTTTTATTTCAAAAAACATTATTTTTTAAAATACGTACAATAGCAATGAATATGATATCACAAAATTATATATTTTGGACTTGCATCTTGCCAACTACACCGATTTTCCAATGAGGTACGAACATCGCGCGTAACGTCATACAATATACTCTAAGTTCATTATAAGCGTCTTCTTATTTCTATATAATTAAATATACGTACGTAGATTACGTTGGTATAGATGACGCACGTATGTTAAAATACAGATTTCCTTTTGCAGAATTGTTCTACATCACAATCACGAATATCTATTTCTATCTATTCATGAAAACTAGTTTTACAAAATATATGAAACAAATGTAGAGCAGATGATTGCATCGTTCAAAATAAAGAAAATAATAAGTCCGCCGAATTAAATATTATGTAATACCACTGACTCGATATCCTCTCAGTCTCCATGTTTAAATACGACATTTTTTAACAGGAAAGTAAACAAATTGATGATACATATACGCTTTATTTTTCAAAAACTAAAATCGGAAGTGTTATTATCGTACAAGTACACATATTACAAGTATATTTTATTATTAATTAACTTTGAAGGACACTAACCATCATGTTGGACAAAATGGTACTATTCTTTGTTATATTGCAGCTTTTTGGTAAGTATGTTTTATTTATTTTAAATGCATAGTATTTTACATTTTAAAGAAACTTTTGATATATATTTATTCAAATATTATAATACTCTCTTAATACAGAGATTTCGATCTACTACGCATTTTATTGAGTGCTTATAAACACGTAAAACATTGTACAGTAAATATGATATGTAAGTTATTGAATGATAACGGAAAAGAAAGAATAGTCAAATAATGTTATCGGTGAATAGATACATGTAGTTACATGTTGACGGTGAATAGATACATGTAGTTACATGTATGCAGTGATTAATAAGGTCATAAATTGTGAATTGCAAAAAATCATATGCATATTCAATTTCATCTAACCTGTTAGCAGGATTGTGTTTGTTTTGTTTTGTTTTGTTTTTTTGTTGTGTCTAGTTTTGTTGGGGTTTTTTTTGTATCTTGTGTATTCTTTTTTTTTTCTTGAGCGGCAGTATCTATCCGACAGCTATAATAGCTACATGTACATTGTCTAGCTATCTTTCTGTAGAAGTTAGCACATTTATACTCAGCTTTCTAATTTGTTTGCCAGTTGTTGTTTTTTCAAGTTCAAATTAGTGGTCATCCTATTGGTACATGTAGCTGCACTGTGCTGTTTATTATATTGCGTGCCTTAGTTTTTCGACATACGGTCTAGTTAGACAACCAAAATGTGGGGGCGGGGGTCTTGTGAGCACGTAAAACTGGTTTCACCCATCAGATTATGCGGTGACATTGACCTGTTGAAAGGGGTCTTGAAAGTACTGTGTCACAAATGAAATTACCCTTTTCAGACATTGAACTTCGACTTGATACAGTGGTAACACGACAAATGCAGCACTTCTATCTTTTAGAATGTAGTATCCTTTCTCATCAAAGATCTAGTTGAATAACTTATGTTTTTGTCAATATAGATCTTTATGTAAACACTAAAGATTTGGTATGATTGCCAATGATACACTTACATGTATCCACCAGAGACCAAATGACGCAAATGTAAACAACTGTAGGTAACCGTACTGTCTTCAACAATAAGCACAATTGTAAAGTCGACTACGACAGGAACCACTATGGCAAAATGTAAAACATATAATTAAATATACTTTACTATTTTGTTTTAGTAGGTGTTTTGGATGCCTATAGGGACTGTACTTACTACAGCTATGGATATAATGAGGTCGGAAGTTACTGTTCATACTATAGCAATTCCTACTATCGCCGTGTGTACATAGTGTAAGTATATTATATTCATTTGCGATATTATCCTTTCAAAATGAATTTGTTGAACTGATTATGCATACATGTATGTATGCCATCGCTTAATAATCAACTCACTATTTAAATCATTAATTCAGTATTTTAGTCATCAATTCACTATTTAAATCTTTAGTTCCCTATTTAAGTAATTAATTCCCTTATTTAATCATTAATTCACTATTTTATCTAATTTCAAAAAGCTATGTCAGTATCTTTGTTGACCATTTTTTTTGCATCAATGCATAATCTATTAATTTCGAATGCAATTGTTGTGATATTTAACGTTTACTGCAAAATAAAAAATAAAAATCTAAAATTTTATAAATGTTGGTTTATGTCCGTCCGTTCGTAACAAATCGTTTCCGTTCTTTAACTTTTTAACCCTTTTGAGGTTCAGTAGTGAAAATTGGCATTATTTTGAACTACTAGAAGTTGTTTCGTATACAAGGAGGTAAACTCTACAATAAAATACAAGGTTAAAGAAGCCCACCACCCCCACCCCTTTCCCCTTCGTGCATATGTACACAAATCCTGTCCGCTCTTTAATTTGAAAGCCACTTGAAGTTTATATATGAAAGTTAGCTTGATTATTCACCATTTCTAGAAGGTGTGTCATGTACACTGTACAATGAAAAAAACCTACATTGAATGTCATAAAGACCTACATTGTAGTACATTACATGTAGCTATCCCTAAGCAAACATAAACATCGTTTCCCTTCTTTGACTTCAAAATCCCCTGGAGTTCAGGGATGATATTCTTCTGACTATTTACCACAACTAGAATTATAGTTGCATACACAGAATTAACCCTTCTTTGAAAGTCCGACACATATATATTTTGTTGTCATAAATCAAATCTAAAAATAGATAAGAAATCTTCACAAATGTACAGCTTAAAAACATAGACATGGTCCTACCTTCATTTTTTCATATTTCACAAATGAAATTATATCTGTATCTGAATGTCAATAAGATTCCGAAGAGTTGAAATTGGCCATTCAGGACCCGAACGAGTCCATCGATACGCCCAGCGATTAAGGATCGTTGGGCGTAACTTCCTCCCAAAGTTTCTGAAATTTACCAACTAATCGACAATCCATAATATAATGGTATATATTTTTTTTTTCAGATCAGCTCCAATTATAGTGGTAATAGTCCTTGGGGCCCTTGTTGGACTTGGCATATTCATTGCAATACTGGTGTTTGTATGCTGCAGACGTGGTCGTCGAACAACAGGCGTGATTGTAAGCGGAAATTCCGCTCAGCCTACAACAGGTTATATCTATCCAACCAATCCAAACAGTAAGTTCATGCATGTTACCCTTGCACCTCTAAATGGGAACCCTTTAATCAGGTGACAGGGTACATATACGCTCCACAAGGAGCGTTCTTGGTAATGCAAGTGGACTAAAATACGCAGTCCTGTCTTCGCAAATGCTTAGCACGTGTTTAAAGAGTATTACGACCCAAACACTAAAAAAAGACCACTCCAACATCTCTCGTTAATTGCAGTTTCAGTAATGATAATTGCTTAGACTAAATCGTCGGAGATAAAAATATATTTCTAAGACTTGTGGTAGTCAAACGTAGTTTCTATTTGGGTGCAATACAAATTCTCTGTTAAAATGCAATGATAATTGCTTAGACTAAATCGTCGGAGCTAAACATATATTTCTAAGACTTGTGGTAGTCAAACGTAGTTTCTATTTGGGTGCAATACAAATTCTCTGTTCACATGCATTTTCAAGTTGAGTCCGCAGGGATTCAAATTACCGTTGGTCCGAGGTCCGTGACCTTCCATTTACGGGTTTCGGACCTTCCCACCCGACGGACTTTCGTATTTTTGCAGGTTAAAAAAAAATTAAAAAGCATTTTGAACAAAAATATAAGTCTAGTATAAAAATAATCTTAAAATATGCAACTATACTGAAAGGAAACTTTATATGATAGCTTCAATTCTTGACAATTGATTTGATGTGTAGTCACGTGATTGGTCGTTGTACAAGATACCGGGAAACTGGAGGATATAATATTAGAACATACAATTTTAAGTAGTAAACGGTATGAGTCAGTTTGGTTTTGGGGTGACCTCTTCCAAAAGAAACCCTGATGAAACGGGTGATACAGCGGGTGTGATTGATGAAAAGGCTTAACACAGCCCAAAGACAGGATCTTAAAAAATACCAAATATATGACAGGGAAAACCGAGAACGTAGATTTTTCCCACACACAGTGAAAGGGAAGGTGTCCTAGTTCGTTGGACAAAACTTTATAACTTTAACCCCTTAAAATATCATGATGAAAAAATTCCTCCCAGCATCTACCGTATATATCTTGCCAAAATATGTGGTTAAGAGAAACTGACCCCAAGTAGTTTGAAAACAAACTGTTATCTGACACAAACTTAGGACAGTGTGCTCTAAAGCAGCAATTGAAACCAAAACAATTTAAAGGTACAAAGTGTTATTTATGTATTTTAACACAGTGTATAGTGTTGGGGAAAAGGGTCATTTTCTGGCTGAATTTATTAAAGAAATTTAGAAAAAAATGAGGTAAATGTAGTAAGATATAGTGAGTACTTTGGAATGGTAAGCATTTTCAGTTTTTTATAAATTGCATTTTCAATAAGAACTGGACATTCAAAGAAAAAAGGAGGACTTTTAAGTATTTTTGATCAAAGGTCCTGGATCTTCCATTGCCTTTAGTAAATTTGAACCCCTGCAGTTCTGTTCATTTTATAGCATCCATTTAATGTTTGTCGCTTCGTTATAAATGTTTTTTGTGCTAATACAACGTAGATATCACACACCAACAATCTATCAGAAACTTGTAGCCCACAGGTAAGTGCTATGCGGGATACTTGAAAACATAACTTAAAATATGATTCCGATCAAATATTCATTCGTTCGTTGCTTTAATAAAACACCACCAACCCCCCCAAAACAAATACAAAAATACAAAAACGACAACGACAACAAAAACAAAAACAAAGGAAAAGAAAGTAAAGAGACGGAAGACCAAACGGATACTTTTATTTATGCTGAATTTGTGTAATTAAACTCATCAAATTGTGTATGCCGGACGCGCGTTTCGTCTACAAAAAAACTCACCAATGACGCTGGAATAAAAAAAGTTTTAAAAAAGCCAAATATAGTACGAAGCTGTAGAGGACCCAAAATTCCAAAAGGTTTTGCAAAATCACATATATTTTACTGTCATCGACAGTCACTCAAGAAAAGACTTATTATCACCAAATATATTTATAAAAGACAAATTCTACGGACACATTACTGAGGCAAATACGTTGAACTATCTTCCAAACAGAATAATTCACAGTACGTTTCATATTTATTATAGCTGGAGTAAAATTCACTCATATGGGAATTAAATGATATGTGTAGTAAAAAAAAACAACATCTGCATGTGTGCATCCCATGATTAAAAGAGGATACGCGGTATACATTGTACGCCAATACTCAAAGCAACAAAAAAAAAGAAAACGTCCTTCTTAACGTGTTTATTTGTATGCATGCTTCCATACTTACTTTCAATAAAATCAAAAGGAATGCAGAATATTTAATAGCATATTTTTGTTTAAACATCATGCATTTTTAAAAAAGTGAACACTCACTCAGTGTGGTACTTCTTATATGATTTTGAGCATTAGGAATTTTTTAGTATAATTTGTTAAATTTGATAACTTCAAATGGTAACTTCTTTCGTATCAATTCACATCAAAACATAATTTTTCATAAAACATTTAATTTTTTTTTTATTAACAAATGACGATTTCTAAAAAATGAAAAGAACTGTATAATTAGGAAAAAACTACTTTTTCTTAGGTTATGATGTCAAAACGGTACCATCTGGTACTTGTATTACTTTGTGAGTAAATTGGTCTATTTAACACATCGGTTAACTCCGGAAAATATAACAGCTTTTAAAAATCTATCCTTAAATAGCAATTTTAATTCCTACGCATCATGTGTATATTTTTTTACATAAGCTGGTGCTGTGTCATATCCTGGCGGTAATCAACCTGCTACTGGGTACTACGGTGGAAATCCTGTTCCTACTGGATATCATGCTGGAAATGCTGCTCCTACTGGGTACCATGGTGGAAACGCTGTTCCTACTGGATACAATGCTGACAATGCTGCTCCTACTGGATACCATGGTGGAAATGCTGCACCAGCTGGGAACTATGGAGACAACAAACCAATAAATACTGGACCAAAACCACCTGCATACAACAGTGCAGTTCCATCATGAAACAAGACGATACTGTTCCATTATAGACTTCATTAGATATATAAACTTAATAAGGAAACATATTTCCTTTGACTATAACCTTACACGCGCATATATGTAATTCACATATAAGTGTAAATGTACATCACAACAACTTGATTTTTTTTTTTTTTTTTCAGAAATATTTTTATTACCAAGATATTTACCTCTTACCTCTTATCCAAACGATATTAAAAAAAAAATTCTGTAAATCATCTGTGTGTGCATATTAAGTTAGACAATCAAACAAACTATATGATTTGGTAAAATATTGGATACCTGGCCATCAGTTCCACTGTATAAAAATCCATATTTCGATTTATTTATTTTTTTTCAAATTTCTAAGTGTTAGCCTCAAATTTATCTTTATACATGTACCTGACTTACTTTTATAAATTCACAACTGAAGTAACGAAACCCGAACATGCTAAAACGGAACCGGTCTCAGGCTAAATTAATCCCTACAAATGTACTTAAAACAATAATGCATACTAAGTCTAGTAATCCGTACTTGTACAGTACAACATTATCTGTCATTCTTATCTAAACTTTGTCTGAAATGTTTTTTTCATAAAATTTCCATTTCTTTGAATGAGTTTGAATATATTGTTCAGATATTATCATTTCAGTAAATACAGGTCTGTTCAGACATTAAAGTCAATCCTGAAATGCTCAGTTAAGTAGGACAAAATGTTTTCCCTGTGAATTTGTTAATTTGAAGGTAATATTTATTTTTAGTTAATTGTTTTGTCATAAGTCAGTTTTTTTTTAATTGTTTTCCAGTTTGCCTTGCGAGGGCCTTTTATAGCTGATTTTACTGCTTGTGTTTTGCTCATTCTTGAAGACCGTACGTTGATATATAGTTGCTGAAATCCACGTTATTTTTACTCAAATTTAGTTGGATAAAGTCATTACTAAATCATTAAAACAGGTTGAGCTAGGTCGTTAAAACGAGTTACTACGTCGCTATGACAAGTTAGCTAAGTCTTTATAACGAGTTAGATAAGTCGCTTTAACGAGTTAAAATTAAAATTAAAAACAATTCCCCATGGCACGTACCGGCTTCAGTAGACTTGAGCTATTACATATACTTTGTTGAACAGTTCTCTCAGAACTGTGACCGTTTAATTCAGATTATTAAGTAGTAACATATTTCCAATTATCCCTAGCTTTAAACCTAAGGCTTATAACCTTGATCATGTAGATTTGCAAACTTAAATCATTACAAACATCTTTATTAAATACAATTGGCTGCAACTATATTTAAAGCTTAATGCAGATAATTATATGAATACATTGAGATAGCGGTATGTCCAAAGACGAGTCCAGAAGTACCAATCTTTTTATTATTACAATTCATACTCTTCGGATTCCTTTAAAGTCACGAATGCAAAAGACTTCTAGGGTTCACATACGTGCTGCAACAATGACATAGTAACTGCCTTACTATCCACCAGTACCAAAATGAAGCAAATATAACTAGTTACACGTGTTATTTTCCCAATTGTGTCTACACAGCACGAACAAAGAAAAGCATATGTAGCAAGTCGATATTGGAGAAAAACGGTATGTCAAAGCCCTTTTCAACAGATTTTTATAGTTTTTCTTTTTTCAGTGATTGTCTTTTGTGTATCTTATTTGTTTCTCGTTTATTGTTTTCTATATAAATCAGGCCGTTGGTTTTCTCGTTTGAATTGTTTTACATGTGTCATTTCGGGACTTTTTAAATCTTGCTACTAGTATATGCGGTATGAGTTTTGGTCAATGTTAAAGGTCGTACGGTGACCTATAGTTCCTGTTGGAGAGTTACATCATTGGCAATCATACCACATCTTGATATTTTTTATATTTATCAAAACTTATGGCGAAAAACTGAATGGCTTTACACACCTCAGAAGTGATACGTTTTGTTTGTTGCGATCCTAGTGATCATAAGACAGTGTAATATTAACAGTTTCAATGTATGGATCACATTTATTAACCTAAAATGTGATTTTTTTCAAAGGCATAATTAACTCTATTTTTTTCTTCACAAGTTTTCATATGTATGCTCTACTATACAAAGCATTGTTTGATCATTTTCTATTTTACCGATGTGATCAGCTACGTCATATGTGTCATCAACTGAATGATCGTACACATCGTCAGAGGTGATACTCTTATGTCTGTTGCGATGCGCATGATCATAAATGTCATCCACAGTTTCAATATACGGATCATCATCTATAACGACTTCACTACATATTGGCGATGCTAGTTCATAATTATTTGCAGTAGCTGTGGTCTGATGGCTTCTATCGTATCCAGTTTCTACCGGATCAAGGGTGAAGTAAACAGCTGATGACACATGTGGTATATCGCTTTTGTTGATTGGTTCCTTGGTTGTTCGGAATGATCCGGTGTCAAGCTGATCGATCGTGAAATAACTAGATGATGGCACGTTATGTACTTCGCCGTTCTTTATTTCTGAGAATGCAATATTTTGATGACCACAATATGTGTATGATTCTGATTTCACCATTCCATGTGGTATTTTGTCTTTCTGTTGTTCAACTAAGGTGTGGCAAGTAAAACATCTACAGAAACAATGAGAAAAAAGCAGCTTATTTTGAAGTTTGTATATTATTCTAATGACCCTTGAAAAAATAGCCCTTGTCTGATAGTCAAAATGACTTGTTCATCAATCAAATAAAATGTATGACATTAGTTCAGATGTAGTGTTTTATAGTAGATACAAAAGAGAGGCAAAAGACACCAAAGGGACATTCAAACTCATAAGTCGAAAATAAACTGACAGCCATGGCTAAAAAAAAAGACCAACAGACAAACAACAACACACAAAACACAACATAGAAAGCTAAAGACTGAGCAAGAACCCATCAAAAAACGAGGGGTGATCTCAGATGCTCCTAAAGGGTAAGCAGATCCTGTTCCACATATGGAACCCGTCGTGTTGCTTAATTATAAACCCGGTGATAAGTCTAATTCGGTAGTCACATTCAGGGAAAAGGGGACAGAATTGTTGTTACGACAATTGGAACTTATCCGTCGACATATGTGAAACAGATATTCCATCAAGGTCAACCAACTAGCGATAGCGTCCGTAGAATTTACGAAAGGATGATTTCAACTTCACCACTTGGAACTCTTGGTTTAATAGCTTCCTTGTGAGTAGCAACCCTCTATCAAGGAAATCATGATAGGAAATACAAGCCCTGGAATATCGTATCAACTGGGAGATGTATGCTCCGTATGCAGGCGCTGCTGCGCTATAATATTTTGGTTTTTTTTTTCAAAAAGATCTTAGTGAAAAATCCAAAGTTTTGTAATAAACTGTGGTTCTTTTTGCGATCATATGGTCCATTGTAAATGTACATATACAATATGTACCGCTTCGTCTATTAACTTGTGTGTGAATTTTTCAACAGAAACAATCAAAGATCTTCCACCAACACCGCGTTCTCCAAATAAAAAAAAAAACAAAAAAAAAACAACACACAAAGTTACGACAAATATTAATACTGATTTGTAACAGGCACGGAATCTTGGACTGGGTTAAGCTTTGTTTTTAGATCCAAATCCCCCCTTCTTCTCCCTTTCCCCACCATCCTTGTTCAACTCGATCAGTTGACTGTTAAAACGTACAAAATTGAAAACAAAAAAACCAAAAAAACAACAATAATCAATATCATACAGTCATGTTCAAATCCATAGCCTCTGAAAGACAACTTTTTAATTTTTGCTTATGTCTTTGACATACACTCCACATTTCTTTTTGTTCACACATTTAACAGCAGATAGAACTACTAGTTCAATCATGTCTAAGGTTTTTGTGTAATGCATTAATTGTACAGTAGCTAAATGGCGTCTTACACTTTCTTCCTCAGGTGCATAATCATTCACTAATTGGCACATGGAGTGCAGTATGTTAACCCATTAAAGATTCTAGAGCATCTGATAATCTATAAATAGCACATAGCTGAGAGGGTGATAAAGCAGATTGTTACCCCGAGAAAACATTATCAACCGCGGCGAAGCCAAAGTCGACAATGTCTTTTCAAGAGGTAACAATCTGCTCTATCCCCCTCTCAGATATGTGTTATTTAATTTATTATACTGAATGTTCTGTTATTACTGTCTATTAAATCTAATAGAATATATATAACGTCTTGTACATAACAACCATCCGTAGTTAATAAAGCGCACAATTGATCAAGCGTCTCCATGAAGGGTAATGGAGTATTTGCCATGAGATAGAGTAAATTGTCTCCCTCGTAATAAGCAATAAAAATATGGCATTTTGAGTTCTCACTGCCTTAGATTTAAGTGTTGTCTACTAATTATACATACGTGCACGGTTTATGACCATTTTTTAGTTGTCACGTTCACGATTTTTTAGTTTTGCTCTCAGACTAAATATTTTAAACTTTTTTGTTAATTCGATCGATGATATTCAAGACTCTACCAGCAGATGGTGCATCACAAATCACACCGTTTTCTTTCGCTTTCGAAGTAATCCGAATTGTATCATGTCAGAGCCTTTTATAGCTTATTTTACGCTTTGGGTTTTGCTCATTGTTGAAGTCTGAACGATGACGTGTAATTGTTTATAGTCTCTTCCTTGAGTCTTTTTGGGATAGATGTCCAACTGAAATCATACCACATCTCTTCATATTTACATTTATGTTAGTAGAACTATCGAGGACATGATAAGACCTAAATCATGACGTCAATGAACACATTGTTTATGATACACGGGGAAAGGGTAGACATGTTTGTGATTCAGCGCGCGTCTTATTAAACACGTAAAACATAAAAATGTACATGTATGTTGTTTTCAGTACTAAAATCACATTACCTTTTTGCTAAGAAAAAAAACAGTGTAAATGATACAATCACTACTGCTCCACCAATTACACAGATCAGTATTATAACTGTTGAAATAAAAACTTATTCATATTTGACAAATCTACATTAAACGACATATATACATTTATTTATTATAAACTTTCTCAGACCTGAAGGATGGTACCTCCACCCCCCTGGGCATACAGTAAAACTCATGCTAACGAGGGAGTCCGTTTATTTGTACGGGTTGTATAAAGACGCAGCCACGTCAAGTCGGATTAAATCGAAAGTCGTGTACAGGAATACAACAATGGGCTCTTTTTTTTTTAGATACCATTGCAATAACGTTCTGAGGGTGTCGTAAATTGATGTTCCTTGCAACATTTTCCAGTAATAGACGAAAAATCAGTTATTCATCCCAGTCTACTATTTTTCAAAATCTAACAATGGAGTTTATTTTTTAGATTATTTGTTCTCATCCTGATCAATGTTCAAACGTTTATCCAGGGACGTAAAGGAAACAACATTCGATTTCTTCTACATATATTTTTTTCAGATTTTATTTCCAAGAAAAAGATATTACTGATTTGTAAAAGACTATGTAATATGCGCTGACTTTGTAAAGAAATGTGTCCAATAACATCAATCTATAAATAATCAAAGCTAATCCTTGATATATTGTATGGACACCTAACTATTATTGAAGACATCTACGTTGGCCATTAGATGTAGTTTGGATAATTTTGACGTTTTGTAACAGTCTCGTTGATGATAAACCATATCTACTCTTATTCACATAATTCAATGATATACACTCATGCATATTCAATTAATTTAATAAATAACAAAAATAGAGGTAGATAATAACAACGGGAAAATTAAAATTCGAAGGAAAACCGACAACACCATGGCAATACACGACGAAAAGACTAAAGGTCATACAGCAGTCTTTTAAAACCTACATAGAAAACTAAAAACCGAGCAACACAAAGCACACAAAAAAACTTAACCATTGTATTATGTTAAGAACAACTGAGACTTAGCACCAAATATTTTGACAAGATGATCGACATAGAATTGTAATAACGTTTTTTAAAGATCAAGAGTTTAGTTAAATTCAGGTTTAATACATTCGCTGGAAATGTACAATATACGTAAAAATCTTTGTAAAATATTTATCTAAACTATATACACACTCAGACTCACTTCAAGGGTAAATAATTATGAAACAACAGTAATGAGTGAAAAGTTACATTCGCTAAAGGGCACGTTGCAGGTGCGCTCGATTCCGATCTTAACTGACTAGGATTGTCAGTTTTCCTACAGATGTCGGTGGTTCTCTCCGGTCACTCCGACTACCTCCACCATGAAAAAATACCGCCACGAATAGCACAATAGTGCTGAAAGTAATACAAATCAATCAATCAATCAATCAATCAATCTATTATTCAATCATTCACTAAAGTTTGTTAAAAAATAAGTATATTTATTTTCAGATCTATTACAAAAAGAGGGAGCATTGATACTTTTGGTTTTTATAATGCACATGCTTTTAACCCAAAGTCTTATTTTTTTCGAAGGCGCCAACTATTTGTGGTTGGTGTTCATTTGTTTTGTTCAATATTTTATGGAGTCTTATAATCCCTGTTGTGTATTATTACATGGTATTTTTTTAACTTAAACTTGAAATCTAAATGGGTTACTATTGACCAAGTTGAATTATAACAAATTAAAAGCCCAAATTTGGCAAATGCAAAAAATGACTGACTACATGTATGACTGGTTTGAACTTGTGAATAACGTTTTTTATGGAAATCAAATTTTCAGAGAGAAAAACGTTTTTATGACCTTGTACTTACCGTTGTTGTCAAGGCCAGCTGTTCTGTCAGCCAAGGCTGCAGTTGTCGTGGTCCCTGCAAGACATGAGTATTGCCTTGATTACAAGTTTGTACATGTCATATTAGACGTAACTGATACACTTACAAAAATGTATGCATAAGTCATAAAAAGGGGTATGCGCACGTTAAACTGGTTTAACCTCAAATCCTAACGTAATAACAATCCTATTTCGAAGATGTGCAAGACTTTTGATCTAAATTAATAATTATCAATATAAAAAGACAGATAATCACGTGTAATAGTACACGGTAGTATAACGACGATTTTTTTTTAGATCTGTTTAAAGATAGTGCAAAACAAATTTCACTCTTTATTGGTAATGTTCATAGCACATTTACCTCCTCGACAGGTTGTCTGCTACAGATACTTTTGTCAAATAAAAGTAAGTATACGAATATATTTTTTCACAATAATCGCAAAAGTTATATCGTAAAGTATAACAACTTGTACTTCTTCAGATGTACAAAGAGTGCAGAGCTCTTCTTTATTGAACTGCAATGCTTACATGTAGCATACACAATTAATTTGTAGATAACATGTAAGATCAATTTGTGAGAAATGAACGAAATATATTCAAATATAACTTTACGATTACAAAATGTCGAACAAATCATTTGCAACTGTTTAGGAGTGTATGACAATTTCAGTAAAAAAATCTACCATCTGTTTATAAATCCATATGGTAGCAAATGCAATTTTTTACCACTAATTTACCAGTTTGTCAAAGAGGCAAAACCGCAATTTTACTTTTATTTTTAGAGACAGAAGCTTCTACGTCATTAAAATGTAAAGATTAAGTATTAGAGGCAAACCCGTAACAGTGTGGACGACACCAATACTTATGCTCTTAGTAATCGCGAATCATTTACCTTTAAAAAGTCTGTCAGAGGCCCTCCAGTGGGGATGTCAACAATCACTTGTTTCACATTTTGATTCATAAAATTAAATTTTATTTTAACCAAATTTAAAAGAAATTTGTTTTAAACATTCTTTTATCACCACACCCAACAGTTTCATTTGAAATAGCAATAAATGTGCGGAGCTTATATCATTAAATTACAGAAAAAATAAATTATATACATGTAAAACATTTCGATTTTATATGTGTTTGAATGACTTGAAAACATTTTGAATAGTTTTTTGTCGAAATTGGATAGAAATGAAAAGGGAATCGGGAAAATCGTCATTCCAATATCATTCTACAGTTTCTTGAGGGTAAAACGTATTAATCAAAGACCAGTTTATTTTAATGCATACGTCCCTATCGTAGATAACAAAACCATGATATGATAAATGCATACCGACTAAAAATTAATAAACATGACTAAGATAGAAGGCGATACATATACAGTGCAAATAAAAGACAACCAACTTCAAGATATCGCCAAACAATGAAATAATAGATAATGAACCTTACATACAATGTATATCCTGCAAAGATAAGTATATCTTACACTATTGCTGAGTCCGACATCGATCACAACTTGAGAAAAAAGACCGTGCCAGTAGCCGACTAATGTAACGAACGATACATGGCTTACTCATTCATTAGACATAGACGCCCACTAAATTGTGCATTTAATAAAAAAAAAACTATCACAACAGGTAAATTTTCGTGAATAACGGTAAATGTGGTGCTAATGTTAATGGGAACCAAACCAAAAGACACTAAAAACCAATGAGACCCCACCAAAAGGCACTAAAAACCAATGGGATCCCAACCAAAAGACACTAAAACGAATGAGATCCCACCAAAAGACACTAAAAATCAAAAGACACTAAAAACCAATGAGATCCAAACCAAAAGACAGTAAAAACCAATAAGATCCCAACCAAAAGACACTAAAAACCAATGAGATCCCGCCCGAAAGACACTAAATACCAATGAGATCCCAACCAACAGACAATAAAAACCGATGAGATCCCATCCAAAAGACACTAAAAACAAAAAGAAATCCAAAGAACAACAAGTTATCGGCCGTGTGAATAAGCTTTAAGTACCCCGAACCTAAACAAATATAATTAAGGCTATAAAGATCTGTCATAAGCAACAAATTTTCCAAAGCATGTAGTTTTACAGCTCAAAATCAAAATGTACTGCCATTTCCCTTTCACCTTAAAAGCTGTGCCACGTGTCCCTAAACAAGATGGTATTGCTGTTTTATAATACCACATATTAGCAAAAATGTTGACACAATCTTATTAATATACTTACAGTTTGAAGAACTGATCATTTTACATTCACCAATAAATGAGTTTCCTAAGAACACGTCATATAGAAAACAATAAGAATACAACACAATTGTATTTGATGCCATGAAGAAAACAAACTATTTGTGTTGTTTAAAACGACATATAACATGCAGTTAACTTTTATGATATTTATCGAATTAAATAAAACAACATTAATTTTATTACCATAAATACATTACTTTTAATCATAACATGTCTGAGTAAACAAAGAACGCTTGTAACTTTATTGAACATTCCATAAACAGATAGAGTCGTAAAATTTTCTTTAGTTTCACCATTTATTTGGTTCGTTTAAAAACTTCCTTTTCCGTATGGGATTGACCCAATATACCATTATAGAGGAAGCAAAGACTTTTTAATTTTTAAACAGAGTATACAATTAATTACCTCACAGTTTAATAAAACAAATATGAAATAGAAAAAAGAACAACACTTTGTTACAGATTTGGGAGTCAATCATCATCGATAACACAACAGTACTGGATGGAGTTAGCTTCGCTTTATATACCAGCAGTGTGTTACCATGTATTAAGTGCATACAACAAAGTTAGAAAATATATATACGTGTGTAGGAACAATCAAGATAAGTCCAAAAAAGAAATAAACAGGAAAAAATCGATAAAAAATAAGACGGGAGAAAAGATAAACTATAACATAGAAAATTAAACGTTGAGAAAGCCAAACAATACCAATTATCTGGTGCCCCAGAAGGTGAAGCAGTTCCTGTCCAAAACGTGTCATCTTTAAAGTGTTTCAAATTTTGTCATATCGGGGCCTTTTAGAGCTAAATGCATATTATGGGTTTTGCTCATTGTTGAAGGTAAATTGGTGATCTGTTATTTTTCACATCTTTGTCCTTTGGTCTATGGATACAGTTGAAGTTGTCTCATTTAGAAGCATACCATATCTTCCTACATTTATATTATGACTAGAGCAATTTGGTAAATACTGTGAAATTACATGTATAGTCATACTTCTATATGGTTACAGCCAAGGTAGAATTTCAATACACCTAAAGATAATCAGACTAACTTAATCGGCATCTTATTATTGTAAATATAATTTATATGATAAAAATTATATTTGACGGTATTAACTTTCATTGTAATGTCGTAATGAAACTAAAGCAGTAGGAATGGTATTTTTAAACTCATTGTTTTTTTTACATTTTTCAACAGCAAAGGAGGCATGCTTATATAAAAAGTAAAATAACAAAAATACCGAACTCCAATGAAAATTCAAAACGGAAATTCCCTTATCAAATGGCAAAATCAAAAGCTCAAACACATAAAACGAATGGACAACAACAGGCATTTCCTTATGTAGATTAAACCTGGTTTTATAGCTAGCTAAACCTCTCACTTGTATAACAGTTACATTTGTTGTATATAGAATTCCATTATATTGACAACAATGTGAGAGAAAAACAAACAGACATAATAGGTAATAGGTATATACTCACTGTTTCAGTAAAATCTGATGATGAAACTTCATGAAACATGTAATGGTATTTCTTATATATTTTTGTTAACGTGAGCGGCAATATCAAACCAACCGATGAATCAACCTTAGCAAGCTTCCTGTAGTAGCGAAAACATTTTGATCCAAATTATGTGCCGTTGTTTATCTCTTTGAGGTTTTGGTGGTTTTCAAAGTCCGTTGTGCTGTCCGGTAATTTTGTTTATGCCTGTTATTATTTTTTTGCTTTACATTTAGATATATTAGTCATCTAACTTTTAATCATTCAGTGTAAGGACATCCTTATCATAGCGTAGTTAAAATATAATGCATGACAGCGGTTTTAGATTCTAAATGTAAAACCCTTGTATAAATTGATTTCTTCTTGAAAAGCCAATGTATGACATGTATGACTTTAAATAAAAGGAAATGCTGTTTATACGCCAATAAGACAGCAATCCAACAAAACAAACAAAACGACATTTTAAAGGTCGACAATTATTATGTATAGACTGGTGTATATGCAAAATGTTAAGCTCTATGTCGTCTAGAGTCTAGCAGAAACAACCAAAGATATGTAGTCGACACATTTTTGCAATTAAAAAGTAACTAACATACAGCATACATGTATGACACGAGAAAGTGCTACACTAAATGAGGGACAGGTATATGTATATGAGGCGGGGAACAACTATCTTTTTAGATACCACCCCCCCCCCCCCCTTATAATTTTCACTCGTGATCTAACTAAAAGTACATACGCGAAGGCCGTACAGTGACCTAAAGTTCTTATAAATTTCGATGTCATTTGGTCGCTGGTTGGGAATGTCTCATTGGCAATCATACCACATCTTCTTTTTTTATATATACCATAATAATCAGTACAGCTAAAAGCACTTACATGTACGAAATGTAACTCTAAAGTATCAGTAAAATAGATGACAAAACACAAGTTAAGTTGTGAGACAAAGCAGACAATCAAGGAACTAGGACAAAAAAAATCAGCATACTGTGACGTATCCATATTTTGTTTAAGAGACTTAACAATAGAGATCGAATGCAACTATTTTGCGGACAAACAAGGGAACACGAATAAGAAGTCCCATCAAAATCAGTAGCAAAACCAGTTGTACGGAACGGCAAAAAATAGCCGCTTCGTTGGCATCTTTTTTGCTCAGTGGTCAACATCTATAACACGTCACATTCTAAAGGTCAACATCAGTGAAAACAAATGGAAATTGTTTACATTTGAACTATACATTTATTTTCTTTTGAAATAAGTCATAATCATCTGATGTCCTATTTTCTCTGCATACTTCATGATTAGCATGATCTGTTTTTCTTGGTCCGCCATTTTGTTGAGGTGTGACATAATAAAAATCTTCAGGATGGCTATACAGATTGTTTGCACTATTTTCACATTTGTTATTACCAGAAATATTGTAGAGACCGTCATTAAAGGTATCAATACTATTCAATACAAGACTATTGGCCCCTATTTCGTTGGCGGCTGGTTTTGCAAGTTCGTACTTTTGGGGTTCATACAACGGAGTTTTCGGAATCGGTTTTGCAAGTTCGTAATTTGTCGAGTTTAAATCTTTGGTTTCATGAAAATCACTTTTATATTTATTTTTAGTTGACACTTTTAAAATTTGTGATCGATCAGACCCCTCCTCGGTTGAAGTCAAATCGATATAATCTCCAATTTTCATTTCCTTCCTACTAATTGGAGATGGTCTAACATGAACACGTGCATTATTTCCAAGGTTTGTGGGACGATTGTTATTAGGTGGTATCTTCGGAGGCTCCAAAGAATCGTACACTGTCATATAATTATGAGGTTGATCGAAACGAACTGGTGAGCATGCATCATACTGATGATTCCTTTCTTCGCTATACATTCCGAGAGTGTCGTATCCATCTTCATTGTCGCCATTGGTTACGGTTGTCACTTGAGAAACAGTGGTTGTTATATTTCTGTGACCATTATTATAATGTTGATCGTATTTTCGTTTAAAACATGAAAATCTGTAAAAAAAAAATAAAGCTTGGAATTTAATATAGGGTAATAATATAACAACTTATCAAAATCATAATCTTAAAATGTAATATATTAATCGCCAGATTTTTACTTTTTCAACACAACGGGTACGGTGCCATTTGTTGAACCGGAACACCAGAATTAATTCCTGTTTTTTTGTGGTCTATTTTAAAAACCTTTCGTCGTCCTGAACACGCATGGAATATTTGTCACTGGACGTTAAGTACTCAACAGCATCAATCATTCAAATTTAAGTTTTCTTCGTAGAATTTTACAAACTGTTGTTTCTTTAACCTAATGTTTGTGATTGCCCTTTTGCTACTTCCGTTGTTTGTTTTCATCAATTATCTTAGTAACCATAAAAGGAAGTTTTCCCTTGGAGTTCGGTATTTTTCTTATTTTCTTTTTTCATGTTTGAAATAAATATGTGTAGAATTAAGAGTTGTCAATCAAAACTAACAACACATGCCACAAAATTCTATCAATAAAACAATGAAGAGTTTTCAAAATCCCATTTTTTTTTTCGAATCTTTATATTTACATATGTTGAATGAATAAAGCATACAATATATTAAACAATCATTGTATTCAATATGTGTTTGTTTATATTGTGTAAGCTATGGCAGAATTACAATATAGAATGTAGCGGTGGATATTTTTATGCAAATATCCGCATGTTGCTTTAGTTATGGCATATCAATGTCAAATATTCTAGAATCCAAAAAATGAAACAAACGTTGAGAGCAAAATGAATGACCGTCTGATAAAAAGAAGTATAAAATAGGAGATGTGGTATGATTGCCAATGATACAACTATATATATATCCAACAGATTCCACATACAACAGAATTGAGGAGCTATATGTCACCGTACGGTCTGATTTATGTACAAAACAATGAACGAAAAGCAAACAAGACAGACAGCAACCAACAACAACCACAACAGGCTCCTGACTTGGCACATATAGAATGTTGCGGGGGGTTAAATTGTTTGTGAGCTGCATAATAAAAAGGATTATAATTTTCTAATACAGTTACTTAATTTTGTAACTGCAGATACTCGTTTTTATGGCATCACAAGTACATGGTTCAACGTGAAGGTGATATCCTCAATAAAAAACGGACTATAAGTTTTGTCAAAGACGTAGTAATACAATGCTGATGGATGGCTATTTAACGTCCATAGCCAATGGCAAATATGTGATAATTACATATGCGATATCTTTTGATTTGTTTCCGTGTCCACTAACGTAAAGTTGAAAAAATAGTTTCCTACTTTCTGTGTGTAAGTATATATAAGGCTTATATGAAATTTCATCTTTATCAATACAGAATGTTAGTATTTATGTTATTAGAGTTAAGGTCACTGGTGAAATGAGTAATTAAAAAAGTATGTAAATATAACTTGAGTTTGGTATTCACAATAAGTAAAACATTTCTAATATGAACATTTTGCCATCAAGATTTTTTCAACTGGTTCAAAATTAAGGTAGTTATATCGTAATGTAGAGCTCGTGTGCTTACCTCCTTAAGATGACAACACACAATATTAATACCAATAACAGGAATATTAGCCCTCCAACCACGCCTCCAAGAATGCCTATAACATAAACAAATTAAAGTAATGTTATAATTTCGAAACTGATGAATTATATCAAACTATAGTGTACACTTTAGGTATCTACACATTTCGGGGCCTTTTATAGCTGACTATGCGGTATGGGTTTTGCTCATTGTTGAAAGCCGTACGGTTACCTATAGTTGTTAATTTCTGTGTCATTTGGTCTCTTGTTGAGAGTTGTCTCATTGGCAATCATACCAGATCTTCTTATCTTTATATATACATATAAAACGTACATTTGTAACAAGTCAGTATAATACGTGTGGTAACATTTCTACTTTTTTGTTTTACAGCTGATCATTATTTAGAGATTTATGGTAAGTTGAATATCTATTTTTGTCTTTTGTAGTACACGTACACTTGATATATATGTGAACCATTTAACCTTTGCTAATGTCACATGCTTATCTGTATATCTGTATACTGCGGTGTATTGTATACCATACGTTGGTTTAACAATTTATAGACCAATTAGACTGGTTCTCCTTAAAACAAGTCACATTTATTATTTTGTGCTGTACTGATTGGTATATTTTGTATTATTTTTTAAAGCTACTGTTAAGTATTAATGCTTATCTTAAATATATGTTTTATCACCATCTCGATAAAAACAAATGTTAAGCTAAATTGTTGAATTACCAACATTACGTCCAATCTGACTATGGGCGTTTAATACGAGGCATAGAGAACAAGATACAGACACAGCCTGAACATGTGTCCTTCTTTTCTATTGGTAAACAGTTGCTAACGTCTATGTCAATTGAACCCATGCGAATAGTTGTCTCATTGGCAATCCTGGCAATCTTCTTATTTGTGTATGTTTCAATTAAAATTGTTTTAAAGGGACTTCCATTTATATTAATTGTAACGTTATTTTAGCGATTTAGAAAATATTGTTGACTTTAAATGAATCACACAGATAAATCGTCGTGTCATGGATCTTATAAGTTTATATGTCCCCTTTTTATAAAAATAGAGATAGTTATATATTTGATATCAAAATGCAATGGTTTATCTCCCTATAAAACTATAATTATTATACGAGATTTCTACATTCTACGAGTTTTTGTCAGAACAACACTGTTCTATCTCCATACTCATATCGGATTATAATTATAGCTTGTTCATCTAGCTAGTTCAGACAAAAATATGTTTACACTGTTGTAACTCCACTATATCCACCAGAATTGGGAATATTACACAGTTAAAAAGTACATGGTCTAAGTCCACAAAATATAGGGACAAATTTTTAAGACAACATTGTTTGTAGTGAAGTGTGCTATCTCCAGAAAAGGGGATTCTTTATTTATCTAAGTTGCTTGTCTGTTAATAAACCAATCGAACAAAGAGTTTTCTTCATGTACGTAAATTCGATTCCTATATAATTTTTAATGTCTCAGTCAATTTTTTATGATATTGCGCCCTTAAACTTCATATTCATTTTGCCAACCGCTAGAGATTTGGAAACACATCATTATAAGATTCACACGACGAAATATTATAGACAATATAAAAATAAGGAGATGAGGTATGATTGCCAATGAGACAACTATCCACCAAAGTTCAAATAAAGTGGAAGCATGTCATGTGTTTCATTCTCCTTTTTTACTGTTCATTCTATATTCTAATTGAGTAAACTTTACTAGTTTAGTTTATTGGAGTTTTTTGTCTTGAAAATCGCAAATCCGCCGCTGTAAATAGCATTAGGGAATTTCATGTCATACTGTTGCTACTTAAAAAACCATATCATTTACTGAAAGTCCCTTCAGAAGAAAACATATACATGTATTTGCAAGTGGCTATTAAATTGCAGTACTTGCACATGTATCATGACAATATAATTACAAACCATTACATACCAGCTGTTAGAATTTTATCCACTTGAGAAGTTCTGTTTCCATGTGTACTATTTGTTGTGTATGTAGGTGTTACTGAAAATGAACATTTTTGTTTTAGTAAACGTTTTAGCATTTTGGTGATACAATGTGCATATATGGAGGGTCTTGATGGGGGGTCCTTCATTTTTTATTCTCAAACTTTAAGTCCATTTTTTCTATTCTTTATTTAAATTTACTCAAATATTTTTTTCTCTTTTTTCTCTTATCTTTATATTTTTTACCCTTTATTCTCTATTCTGCAAACCCCATTCAGACCCTCATGCAATGAGAGTAGCTTTGTAACAAAAAATAATCTCAGTTACTCCTAGGCTTTAGATTTCGTTCGTATCAATTTTTTTGATTGGTTGAAATTATATTGCTTATGCCCTGAACGAGTCTACAATAACAAATGAAAGTTAATTATTAAATTAAAAATCCATAATCATATAATTGGTGTTCTGGGTCATTCGGACCATATACTATGTCCTTATACTTGTGTAATTGCAAATGAGACAATTATACTAAAACAAGGAGCAAAAATGATACTGATCGTAAGCTATATAACGTTCCGTGATGTAATTTCAAAATAAAATAAATAGCCTGGCATTTTTAAAGTAGCTGCACTTATGCAATTATTCTAATAAACTAGTAAAAGTTAACTGATAACTTTATTATTTTTTTAACTAAACAATTAATTTGAAATGAATAATTACGCCTATCATCATGGTATGTGCATGTACTTAACGGTAATATTGCCTAAGGGATTTTAAAGTACATACAGTAAACATGAGGGTCTGAATGGGGTCCTTCAAATCAGCATTCTTTAATTGTTTAGACAGTTTTCTCTAGTTTTCATAAATTAGCCCATTATTCTGCATTCTGTAATTTTTAAAGTCAGTTTTTCTATTTTTCTTAAATTTGCTCATGATTCTCTGGTTTTCTTTATATTTTAGCACCTCATTATTTTCTATCTATTATATTTTTGCACTTCATTATTATCTATTCTTTATATTTTAGCACCCCATTCTTTTCAATTCTTTATTATTTTTATCCATTTTTCTGTATTGGCCTTTATTCTATTATGTGAGCCCCATCCAGACCCTCATATGTGTATCAACAATAACATTATTGACCACTTGACACAATTACATGCAATGTGGTTGTAGATAAGACAAAAGGAAATTGACATTGGTCATAAATATGTCAAGTATGATCACATAATCAACTTCTGGATAATTCTTAAGTTTATAAGATATATTGTTGACATGCTTACTTACAAAGTCCATAACACTTCAATACATACAGTGTGTATTTCATGTTCATAGCATACAACTTATTGTTTGATTTCGTCTGAATTACGAAATTGCGTGCAACACTTTGCTTTTAACAATAAGAAACTTTCAGAAAACAAAATAAACGATAAAACGATATATAACTTTCACATTTTTTTCAAGCATCTTTGAATTTCACACCTCTAGATTTGTTTTCCCCTGTTTCGAAAAAAAATGAAAAAAAAACAAAAAACATAAGGGTTGATTGGGGGTATAGAAATATGGCCAAACATACTTCTCCGATCACGTTCTCAACAGAGCGTTCGTTCTCCAGAATGTATAGATACGTAGCCACGTTCGGTCGAAACTCTGCCGTTAAATCCGATGCCCGTAGTGCAGGACCACGCTCGTCCTTGCAGAAATTCTGATGGTAATTATCCTTAGATGGCAAGGCCAAACGTCTGTCCCTTTCTATAAAACCTTATGTTTTATTGTCAATTTAAACTCCAGTCCCTCAACCCGGCAGACGTTTTTTTGACTATGTTTCATAAATATTGTTTCAATTGTTAATTTTTTGTCATGATTATACAAGAAACATTTGCCACTGAACCTTAATCAAGCAAAAATGTTATCAACAAAAAATTAGGCAATGGTTATAGTCTCTATATCGTCACATATTTTTGCTTCGAGGAATTTAAACTGGTGAAATATAAACATCATCGACTTGCTTATATCATCATCAAACTGCAACAATTGTGGACGGATTATTTAAATATGTTCTTGACTGTTTTTTCTTCAATGCTAGACATTTCATTTTAATGACATTTCATGTTTATTTAGTATCATCATTATAGTAGCTTTAAACTTATAAAGAAATCGACATACCATATTTGACTTTATCTGTAGTTTCTCTGTTGGCTCTGGTACTAGTTGGTATTCTAGCTATGGAATAGATTAAAATAATATTTGTAAAAGCATTTGTTGGGTACACCTCAATTACACATCAACCAACTAAACTAACAGAAAACCAAAAAGACTTCTTATTTTCAACAACAGTACTCAACTTCAACTTGAATCCTATTGAGAAAAACATACTAAATGTAAAAAAGTCTTTTCAAATTTGTTTTTCTACAAACAATAATGAAAGAGAACGCACCTCTGTGATGCGTCGTTAAAGATCTATAAATAAATATAAATCATGATTATTTACTATTTATCATTTTGCCGACAAATTTCAAATACTACATTTGACGTCATCATTACAATCCTAATTACAGTGCACACTATTGACCATAGTATTAAATCTCAGCACTTTGAAAATGAATTATTTACCTGGTGTGGTCCTTGAAAAAAATCCCGGAAACAACGTAGATCTTATACTTGGATTTCTGTAATTTCTTGTACTAGTTATCTTGACAGTAGTAGTAGAAAAGTCTTCATCTATGTCTAAATATGACAAAAATATACCAATGGATTTAAAACATTTCTACAAAGTAAACATTATATTAGTTTTTGCATCTCCTTTTGTATGAGTTTTATTTTATCCGTAGCATGTCCTAGTAATAGATGAAAGGCAAACAAGTCATCTTTAGTCCAGAAAAACTAGACTTATGTCATGAAATAGAAGTTCCTTCATAATATAAGTTCCAAATGGAGGAAATATTCTGTTATACTTTTTCCACTGGAACAAATATTACAGAATTTGTTCCTTTCGTGTTGGTCAGTCTTTAGTTTTCTATGTTGTGTTTTGTGTACTATAATTGTTTGTCTGTTGGCCTTTTTCTTTTTAGCCATGGCGTCAGTGGCGTGGTTAGGCCATTTTTAAGTGTACGCCCGAACCTTGGCGAGGATCCTGCTCTAGGGCCTTCTGGTAGGGGATTCGATGGGGCGAAGCCACCGAAAGCTCACGAATTATTTAGAAAAGAGATATCATTTCTGTCATTTAAAACTCATCAATTTCGTTAATGGACACATGAAATAATTTTTACAGATGGTTAGTTGTAACATAAAATTCGTAAAGGCCTGTTCCGTGGCACCCTGTGTCTCGCCGGATTGCTGCTGTCAGTGTAAAAGCGTAATGTTGACTGTAAAAAAGTGAATCTATTTATCAGTCAAATGCGGGAAAATTAGCTTGTGTCAAAGTTTCATGACAATCTATGCATGTTTACACATTTATCATGTCACAAAAATTTAATTCTGTCCGTTAAATGCAAAAAAAAAAAAAAAAATAAGTCCGCCTGTCAGTAAAATGCAGAAAAATGAAAAAAATGTATACTTTCAAAGTTTCAGACATAATCTCTTATTTATAAAAAGTTTCTGCCAAACTTTCATAAAATTCGATGAAGGTTTGACAAAGACATGTGTAAAAACTTTAACCTAAGACTGATCCTAAATGTTTGCGACGCCGACGGAATCTAGGATCGATATGTCTTGTTTTCTCGCCATAAATCTCACTAGCTCGAAAAAAAAATGCAAACCACATATCGTATCTCAGCAGATAATGAATTGCTTTAGTCGCAGCTTTAAACAATTGGAAACTGAGCAGAATTCACAATAGATTCAGACTTTGATAGAAAATGAATAAATATATAATATGATATACCATTTGATTAAAAAGTAAATTTTGTCACTTCTATCTTCAATTACAAGTCATTGAAGAAAGAATTAAAAGGATTTCGAAATGCGCAACTGGTGCAGAAAAATTGGTACCGTTAATGTTATTACTTTTAACCACTTCTTTTGATTCATTTAGATTAAAATATTTGTTCTCCAAAATTCATGTGTACGCCCGGGCGTTTTGACGTAAATGTAGCTACGCGCCTGGGCGTTGTCAGTTTATTTTCGACTTATGAGGTTGAATGTCCCTTTGGTATCTTTTGCCTCTCTTTTACGAAATAAAGGGTATATATAATATTATATTTGTTACAAAAGTAACAGATATTATGGCATCATGATTGTTTGTAACAAAGTTTCCAGGGGAACTTCTGTTAGGCGGAACAAATACACGTTTACACCTTAAGGTATTAATAGAATGCAGAAATGTCACAAAAGCAGTTGATACAACACAAACAGACCAATATTGGAGTGCAGCACATCATTATAAAAAGAGGTGGACAATAGCATGGGGACATTCAAAACTTTTTGAACAGCGTAGACACAGTCATAGAAGAAATATGAGGTCTCTGGTGCGCTGAATAGCAACATCAACTCTGTTTAAAATGTGGTCATTGTTAAATATTTGTTTGATTTCGAATATCAAAAAACGATTATTGATTTTAATGGTTTATAACTTAATCCGATGGCAGTAAAAAGGTGCGAACGACAATTTTTTTTTATGGGTCAAGCTCAAAGAAGCATTTATCGCTATTATACGATATTTTGCCTGAGGACATAGGATCATATGCATACATGTAATAAAGAGTTTAGTTGTAATCCTTCAATGATATAGTTTGATTTATCAAAATGGTAATGTAAATTGTTAATTAGTAAATCGCCGCGATAGTCTTCCCTAGATTAGAAATTTGAACATGAGAAAAAAAAACAGTTTTGCGTTTAAAGCAGTTGATTACGTGCGAAACATAATCAAAATGTACATGTCACATACAAAATTGTAAGGGATTATTATATAAATCGGATGGAATATTAAAATAAACTTAAAAAGTAAATAAAAAGAAATGACAGTCACTATTAAAGTTATTATAAGTAATAGTCGTTTATAAATTTGAATTCATTTACCTTTGAAAAAGCAGACTTTGAACTCTGCACTGCATTTGTCAGACACCCAAATTGATTTCGTAGTAAATCCATAATTTTCATATTCTATACACCGACTTTTCCTTTTCTCTTCTATTATTTCAATGGACACAATTTTTCCATCTTCTGGTATATCTTCTACCACACATGTGACAGGCCGTTTACCTCTCTTTGAGTTACATTCTTCGTTTCTACATTGTTGTGCTGAATGGTTAGAAGCAGTAGATAAATGCATTTTAGTTTGAATCAGATGCACAGTACACAACATAATATGTCTTTTATATCTTTGGTTTAACAATCTTTGCAATAAGGACTTAGAAACTATATTTGTAAGTTGTTCTTTTCAACTTTTATAGTTTAGTGTATATGTTGTGTACAAATTGTAATGTTGTACAAATTATAATTTGTACAGATTTTTTGTACAAGTTATCAGTGTTTTATGAACCGCTAAACACAAATGGGTGATACAAGCACACAGTCTTTTGTTTCGCATATTTCTGTCATATTTCCATGACTACATGATACAGTTTAATACTGAGCATTGATACAAAAAACATTATAAGAACGCAAAAAGACTTTTTATGGTTATGATTTTGGTATAAGGAGAAAAATAAAAAAAGAATTTAAACCATTCAGGTGTCCTTATTTCCAGTTTGAGGACAAGGAGAATAGCACTAAATGTCAGGTTGAAGTATATAAATTTTAATTTAAGACATTAAACTGATACATTTTAGAGGATAAACTTTTTATCACCTGGTGCAAAAAGGTATGTATCAAAAAACTTATAACTTGTACAAAAACCCTGTACAAATTATAATTTGTACAAACTTACATCTTGTACACCACATATACATCAGTTTATGGAGCTACCATTTGATTTTTATGGGGGGGGGGGCTAAGATGAAATTTGAAAACAAATAGGCAGGACAGGAGTTTTGAGTAAAAAAAAAGGCAGGATGAGCAACTTGGCAAAAAAAAGGCAGGATGACAATTTATGTGAAAAAAGTCAGGATAACTAATAAAAAAAAAAATGCAGGACCGAATAGAGTGAAAAATAAAAAGGCAGGACAGAGATTTAAACTACCCCCCCCCCCCCCCCCCCATAAAAATCAAATGGTAGCTCCCTTATATTATAATTATAAGTTGTATTTTGGTTTAAGAAAAACATTTAGTATAAAATAAGGAGATGTGTTATGATTGCCAGTGAGACAACTCTCCTCCATAGACCAAATGTGTAATGTATAATTTAGTGCAAAAGTTTATATTGCTATTCATATATAATTAATATGTACTTTAATCTTTAATTGCATATTAACTACATTGTACCTAGTACTTAATTTCGTTTTGAATATTTAAAACTACAAAACTTACCGCCATCACAATAGATTAAAACACAAATACCAACGAAAATCCATAAGATCTCCATTTATCCATACATAACGCGTATACAATAAAAGTGAAGTAGGGTCGCGATTTTTCACGGGAAGTTACACACCGATGATATTAATGACGATTTCCGGTTACATTGTTTCATTGTTAAATACATAACAGAGGTCATCATCTTGTACATTTGATGTCACTATTAACACGATTGACATGAAAAAGTGGTTTTTATGACGTATCATATGTAACAACCGAAGAATTACATATCTTTTATCTTATGTAGGGTGTTTTAAACCATAATGATTCAACATGATTGTGATCGACTTTTATTTGATATAAAACAAGTAAACAAACAAACAAACACACTCACACAAGAAGAGATAAAGAAAGGAATAAGGAAATCTAGGAATAGAGTAAAAAAGAAAAAAAAATAAGAAATAAAGAAATATAGAAATATAGAAATATAGAAATATAGAAAAAATAAAGAAAAAAATAAAGAACAAAATAAAGAAATAAAGAAAGAAATAAAGAAATATAGAAAAAATGAAATTTATAAGTATATTACTACATTAACAATAAGTTAGTTTTTACTGAAAAAAAAAATATATATACATAGCAACCTCTTAAAGTCATATTTTTAGATGCTAATCCATTCTAAATCTAAACTAATTTCAGTCTAAGTGATTACAACTCCCAAGTCTCTAAAACAGGTTTGGGGCACTTTATAGCTTGCTGTTCGATGTGATCCAAGGCTCCGTATTGAAGGCCGTACTTTGACCTATAATGGTTTATTTTTTACACATTCTGAATTGGATGGAGAGTTGTCTCATTGGCACTCATACCACATCTTCTTATTTCTGTTGTTTTACATTTGTAAGTTCCAAGTATAATAAAAACAAATTGGCAATATTAAAGAGAAAGCAATTTTATGTTGAACGTGTAAACAGTAATTTCTATATAAAAGAGAAGCAAAAGACACCAAAGGAATATTCAAACTCATTAGTCGAAAATAAACTGACAATGCCATTGAACATTGGAAAATAAATAGAATATAAATTTGTCCGTCTGCTACAATTTTCAGTAAATTTAGAATCCCAAGTCAAGCATGCATTCTTCTTTCTTTTTTTTCTACTTTAACAATGTTCAGAGGGCTTTGAGATCGGTCCTTCGCTCTCAAATGAGTAATTGAGTCATGCATATCTATTTATTGGTAGAATCAACTTCATTGTCCAGTCAAAACAATAAATACTATTTGGCGCCTAGTTAGTTCAAAATGATTGGTGCCGGATATAACAGACAAAGGATCAAGTCTGATTCCAACTTTAAAAATAAGAAGATGTGGTATGATCGGCAATGAGATAGCTCTTCATCAGAAACAAAATGACATATAAGGTTAATAACTATAAGTCACTGTACGGCTTTCAACAATTAGCAGAATCCATACCGCATATCAGCTATAAAAGACCCCTATATGACAAAGATAAACCAATTCAAACGAGAAAACTAACGGGCCTGATTTAAGTACATTACAAAACAATGAACGAAAAAGAAATATGACATACAGCAACAAACGACAACCACTGAATTACAGGCTCCTGACTTGGGACAGGCACATACAGAATGAGGCGGGGTCAAACACGTTTGAAAGCGCCAACCTTCCCCTAACCTGAGACAATGGTGTAACAGTACAACATAAGAACTAACTATAAAAATCAGTTGAAAAGGGCTTAACTCATCAGATCGATACAAAGCAGAAAGACATTTAACAAAAACACAGACCGGACGTGACGGTTGAATGGTGTGCAGTTTCTATCTCAGACAACTGCAAGTACTCTCAGATCTGTACGTTGTGTCTTTTTTGTATTGAGGGATCATGCACACCATCAACCGTCCTTCCTCCGTTCCGCCGAACTCCATTCAAGGAAAGGACGGAACAGTTTGCATAAGTGGAAGAACTCTAATCCATCAAATTGAATATGGACTCGTAAAAAAGGTATAGTTATTGTAAAGATATGGTCACCGCTTTGTTTATGTTATTGGTACTGATAAAAGTTAAACAACAAGTGAAATAATTTTTATTTACAATTACATCAATTATTCTAAACATATATGCACATCAATTTTGCCTCTTAATATTTCATTACATTATCATAATCAGCTGCTATTACAGTTTGACATCCAAGGAAATGATCGTAGGTATTTTCTGTTGGCTGGTTATTAATTCCGGATATGTCATAAACACCATCAACGGCATGACTGTATAAATTGCCATTATTCGAAAATCGCCGGATTTGGTTTAGTTTATTATATTCCCCTTCAACACAGCAATAATCTCCTTCACCTTTAGTCACATGTTTTTTCTTTTCAAGTTTTGTTTGATCAATGTTTTGTTTATTTCTTGGGAAGACGGGTTTACCTTTTTTGAAGCCTGTTGCCGTTGAATCTAGTGTAGCATATGCGCCATTGCTGCCAGCGGCTGTCAAATCAACTTCTGTTTGTGAGACGTCTGCAATATGGTTTCCGTTTACTTTGTCAAATTTATCATTATCTAACTTAAAGTAGTTGTATAACAGGGAAGGCAACATATTCTTTAGGATTGATCTTTTATCTAGTTTATCATGCACATGCTCGGGGTCTGTTTCAGGTTTACTATGCATGTGTTTTGCGTTCGTTTTGCATGTTTGCGGTTTGATGCATCCATTTGAAATTTGTGTTGTATTATTCGAATTTGAATTTCCGTATGTATGACCATTTTCATAGACATTCAACTCGATGGATGAACTGTCTGAGGTTGTTATATTCTGATTTCTATCGTACTCATGATCACTCATTGATGATTCTTTTGTATGAGCCTTTTGTTTTCTAAAATGAAAAAGTAAAATTAATATTTTAGGATGTTTGATTGAGATTTAACAAAAGTAAGTATACTACATTGCCAATCAACGATAAACTATATACAGTTGATAAATTCTGACTCTATAGGCATGGAAAGAGAAAATATTTTCATTATGCAAACACTAATATTTATTTGTCTTTAGGTGTAAACAAAGACTACCTTTATCACTTTTTACAATTGTCAAAAAACAATATTACTTTGGAAAAAAGGAGATAAGGCTTTACGTAATTCAAGCAATGAGAACTTTGGAAAAATCGAGATAAGGCTTTACGTAATTCAAGCGATGAGAATACATTTATTGTCTTTTGAACTGATTCAAAGTCTTAAAAGGAGGTTAAGACTGCCTTTTATCCGTTAATTTTCATGTCTTTTTTTGTGTATATGACGTTAGATTGCTGTACCAATGACACATAGCATAATACCTCTCCTTTTAATACATTATCTGGCATGAACAGCCATATTAGTTTTTGCCATTACTTTGAATCCGTCCTCGTCCGTCGTCTGTAAACATTTCATCTTTTGAAATAATTTTTTAACTGGATTTTGCTATTCATGTTGTATTTTGTCTTTATATTTACGTATACTATTGGTACGACGTAAGAAGAATGAAATAATACACAGAACACAATAAGAATCATTTATACTTCAATTAATAATAGCGTAAAATTGGAAATTAATGTACCTTCTTTTCCAGAACAAACAACTGATAACTGCAACTATAATTAAGAGCAATACAATGGTCATTCCTATACCAATGCCTACAACGGTATATATACAGATTAATTATTATAAATTATCATAACAGAATGAACAATTAGTTTTGAATTCTTTATCTTTATACAGATGCTGATTGCCTTAAAAAATGGAAAGTTCGTCGATAACTGAATCCAACGGCATTTACGTTACTTTGAATAATTGGAGTGAGTAATACGTAGTAGACCTAAGATGGAACAGTCACTCAAAATATGAAAATAACATTAATCTACGTGGATTTTTTTATATGATACATGTATGTAATAGAAAAAAAAATAGACCATAGAAATTAAAACAAACTTTCAACTCATTTTTCAAATTTCTTGCATTGCTCCAGCCAATTATATCAACGTGGTATGACACATACAAAGTAAAATATATGTCCTAGTCATGCCTTCAATAGATATAAGAAGATGTGGTATGAGTGCCAATGAGACAACTCTCCATCCAAGTCACAATTGTAAAAGTAAACCATTATAGATCAAAGTATATATCTTGAGACAATTGAAATCTATCGTTAAAAATGAATGCGTACATAATATTTTCAATGTGCCAATAAATTAAATATCAACTATGACAATACGTATTAATAATAAGGTTAAGAGAAGAAATTGGAGTTGAAAATAAGTTCACTTATTTGGTAAAAAAATATATTTTCTATAATTCACACCGGGTATCCCGATCTGAAATTTGCAAAGGGATCCGAATCCCGATTAGCAATTACACGAGACCACAAATGGTAGGCAAGTACAATCTGGATTCGATTCACATGGATGATTATGCTCTTTGGGTTGGCAACTACATGTACAATCTAGATTCGTTTCACATGGAGGATTATGCTATTTGGGTAGGCAAGTACAATCTTGATTCGATTCACATGGAGGATTATGCTATTTGGGTAGGCAAGTACAATCTGCATTCGATTCCTGTGGAGAATTATGCTTTTTGGGTAGGCAAGTACAATCTGCATTCGATTCCTGTGGAGAATTATGCTCTTTAGGAATCGGATCCAGATTTTACTTCCACACTGTTTGCGGTCTCGTGTAACTGTTCTTCGGGATTCCGATCCCTTCACGGATTTCGGATCGGGATACCCAGGGTGTGATTATGGATCGAAAGTCAACCAAATCAATAAATAGTTATTAATGTTATTTAATTCCTTGCAAAAATTATGATAAAAATTAAGATAGTGCTGATTTGTGAATATATACTAGTCAACAAAAGTAACGATACACAAGTTTGAACTCCAATTTATCATAAAATATAATAAATAGGAACAACTGTTGTAATACCCAATGAATAAACATTCATTTGCAAAGCAAATACATCATTACATATGATTAAAAGAATCTGACCAAATTTGAAAGTGAGAAAATACCGTGTTATTAAACACAGGGGTCAAATTTATTTTGCGGAAAATGATGACAAAAGTCGGCACTTAATTTCGAAGATGAGAATTAAGTATTCAAATATCTGTAAAGGCATTCAAAATTTTAAGCAGACTATGTTTAAGTTTAAAAGTTTTAAGTTCTTATATCGATTTTTGTATTTTTGGTTGAAAATACGATTTTTGAAATAACAAAAAACGCCAAAAAAAAAAAAAAAAAAAAAAAAAATCGCGTGTTTGCCTTAAATCAATGGTTTTGTTAAGAAAATAACACTCTGTAAATACTAGACCAATTGGACAATTATTTACCTTGGTACAGTGTATCCAATTTCATTATATATGGAAAATACATTCAATTTGCCTTGTATCATTTCTTTTGTTGACTAGTATATAAAAAGAGTATTTACCTATGTCAGAATTACTTGTTTTCGGACTTGGCGGTGTATATTTTGTTGTTGATAACTGATGACCTAGAATGGAAAGTTTTGTTTTGGTAACTGATTAACAGACATTTAGTTATATATATTATTGCCCTTAAAAGATAATGACTAGAGAGTTCAGGTAAACATACCAGTCTTTATGTTAATTATTTTAAAAACTAGTCTTTAACAAAATATAACGTTTTAATAATTCAAACTAGCACCAACGACAAAAAAAGGTCAGTCACTTAAAAAATCAAACATTTTATTTATTATACATTGTAGAACTGTATGTACTAAGAATTAGAATAAAACCCATAAGATAATTGTTTTTGTCTATTGTAGAAAATAACACTAATAACATTGATGGTACCATTTTTACAGCACCAGATGCGCATTTCGACAATTGATTTCTCTTCAATGATGGCCGAGTCCAACATATTTGAAAAACTTATTCAAACATTGAAAAGGAGAAAAAGTATAGCCAAAACCGGATAAGGAATCAGAGCTTTGCACGAGGAAGATATATTCCTTAAGTTCAAATAATTCCCAAAAGTTTTTACATGTAACAGCAAATTTCAATAACACAATATCCATATTTTCATGCCAGTACCGAGTACTGCCTACTGGATTGGTGATACCCTCGGGGACTAACAGTCCATCAGGAGAGGTATCGACCCAATGGTAGTAATTATAACATTAACGGTACAAATTTTACTGCACCTGATGCGCATTCTACACTTTATGTCTTTTCAGTGAATACACAGATGCTCGAGGTTAAAACTTTTGAAAATCCAAAACTTGTACAAAAATTGAAGAGCTGATAAAACGAAAAAGAGCAAAACGTATAGCCAAAACTGGACATGGAATCAAAGCTTTGCAAGATTTGGACTAAATGAGACTGAATATTATATTTTTTATACGGATCTAACCAATTGTATACCATATTATTGCACATTAAATATTGGTACTAATCATTATCCTTTTAACCACATATTTTAAGACAATTTAAAGCTATCGTAAAAAATGCATGCGTGTGTAGTGTTTTCAAGGAGTCAATAGATTTAATCCAGATCATGAACATACGTGTTAATATAAAACTTCTGTAGAGGAAGAAAAATTGAAAATAAATTTTATACTTATTAAATTGAATAAAGTAAAACAAATCGTCAAACAATGTTATTAAGTTCATCACAAAAAACATCTATTCAAACAAATATTACTCATTGATAAATGTGAAAAAAGGATTTACAAGTACCTATATCAGATGTTCTCTGTTTCTGACTTGTTGGTGTATGAGTTGTCGTCGAAACCGTTTGACCTAGAAAGAAAATAGTATATTATCATTGTAACAGAATTAATAAAAAAAAAAGAAGTATTGTATTGTCCTGAAAAGATATTGCAATGACTTCAGAATGATGTAACATACGAAATATGAAAAAAAACTAGTTTTATCGTGACATATATCTGTAACTCATTAGGCGTTATTCTCCCGTGAACGTTCTACACATCGATCACCCTATACAAAATTAATGATCAGCCCAGTTGTTGGTATCGACATTCGCTATTATCATTATATTCTCTTATTTATTTTTTTCAAATCATTAAAATGCTTACTTTTGTGAAAAACCATAGCTTGTATTAGTTTACAACAAAAATGATAACATTTTTAGAGAGATACAATATACTTGATGGATAAGACAATGAACTATTGCAAACCACATCAACAGTTGCATGATGATTTTATTTGCATAGCTGAGCTTAGTAGTCTGGATGATAAAGGGAGAAAAGAGGTTCTATGCAAACACGAGAGTGATCAAGAGATCTGGAGTTAGCTTGAGAGTTTGTTGAGGAAACCATCTTTGTTTCAAATTTACAATAGAGAACAACAACTATTGTCAGGATTACCATAATTGTCGTATTAAATGGTTGATAATTGTGATTAATTTACCGATACACTTTATGAAACGCAAATGTAATGTTTTAAAATTAAATTTATTACCTATTACTACTAACACATAAAAACAAAGTAAGTATACTTTTTTAATGAAACAACCAAACAGCAAATTTTGTAAGTATAAGACTTCCAAACATGAAAAAAAAGATTGACAACACAGAAGGTCATTTAATGTGCCTAAATATTTGCAAGTATGATATTATTGCATTTTATTCAAAGAGAACTGTTCTTTGTCTGTGTGTTTGTTTTTGGCATTGTTTGTTTGACGCTATAAAAGATAGAGAATATGATACTAAAAAGTATACACACACGAAAAAAACGATCGACAGACAATTCATGGCGTTACTTTAAAGTTTGTGTTTTTTCAACAATACAGAAAGTAATGTGTTTATTACTGTATAATATATTTTTTTGAAAAGTTAAAAGAGCAACAAGTTTACTCACCATTTCTATTTATTTTATATACAGAAGCTCTCCATGTGCCACCACATGTTTGTGTTACATGCCCTATGCATGCCATGTTGCAATCTTTCTCCATTTTTGTAGGATACTGATCAGAACCGAGTTTTCCCCCATTACCACAAAAACATTCGTGCCCGTACTGTAATTACACATTCGTAAACAATATAATACTATAAAAGAGGGTTTGAATACTTTGGCATATATTTTGTTCTATGCTAGCTATACATGATATATAAGCTTAAGACAAAGCGTTAAGTTAATGTGTCTATAGGAAAGGCCAAATAATGAGGCCAATATGCAAACATTATGCAATTATACCAACTGTCATATCAGATTGCAATGAATCAAATCAACGGTGAAAAAAAAAATCCAAATTGGCTTGCTAAGTAATATTGATGCAATATATTTATTTTTAATGTATTTGATTTTTGCCATAATATTGAGCGAATATGCATATACTTAAGTCAAAGAAAAGAAATAAATAAAACAAGGAACAATGTCCCGAGCAGTACATGCACATCATATTGCATGAACTTGCGAGTACAAAGCCCTGTTAGACTTTTAGGTTGTCCGAGAATTTCCAATCTTGTAATAGATTCGTCTACCTGATAATCTGGTCAAGAATTTTGGTGCTTTGAGTTGACTTATTATATAATTTCAAGTCCTAGTTGTTTTATCTATTTGACGCTTACAATGTTGTGTATTGTTGCTATTGTTGCTATTGAGCTGAATGTCATAATAAAAGCAAGTGCATGTGTATAAATATTAATTAACAAATAAAAGCCTTGAACTCAATGTTTCGAAATTTACATATTTTACATTAATGAATATTCAAGTAAAAATAAGTATTTTGGCAAAATAGTTCCTACCTCTGTTGCAAAATATTCATAGTTATTAGAATTGCAGTGGTTAAAGCAGATGTTGGTGGACATTATATTATTTGTTGCTTTGTATGGTCCATCATGCAGTAGTCTTATCTTTCGATCTTCAAAGCATCCAATGTACGCGTACATTTTAATGAAATGCTGAAATGTTGATAAGAAAAAAAATAAAATATTGCATTTACTGTTTGATTTGATATTGAATATAGAAGAACCTCTTAAATATCACGTCGATTAAAACATCGTGTGCTTAAAACGTGCATTTGCTTCAATAAATGCATTTAGTGTTGACTTCTAAATAGGATTGTTTTTACGTGCCAATTGCTGTTCTTATTGACTTTACATTGAACTTAAAAGGAAATAAAAAATAAGCGGTTCTTTTCTCAACCAATAAAGCAAAGAAATATTTAAATGAATTAAAATATTGTAACTAACCTCTATTGTGTAATCTCTCCGATGTGTTAAATGCACTAACTTTCAAAAATAAGGCACATGGACTTGTTATATGGTACATGTATTACGAACTTTATTTTGAAAAATATCCGCTGTAGTTTCCTTATAAACATGTAAACATCAACTATATTATCATCATAGATTTTAAACTAAGGTCACTTCCGATGCGTAAAAAACACAAACAAAAATAGTTTTATTTTTAATGTTATCGTAATCTAATTGTTATTTAAACTATATAAACAAAAACACAAACTAACTTTTTTAATAAGAAAACGAGAATTTTAAAAATGATGTAACTGAAAATTTATATTCAGTTTTCAACTAGCATACAGCAAATCATTATATACTATACAAAAAATGGAAACAACACGTTATAAATTTAATGCGTCGGAAACACTTTCTGGATTCACCTTCATCAGGAACGCTCAAAGCCGAATATTTGAAAGCCAAGGATGTATAAAACCGAAACAGTTGAAGGACTATATCCGTTATTTAAGTGACAAAGTATTTCATTTTCCTCTGAGATCCCTTTTATGAGTGAAAGCATACTTGTCACACTGGAAAGCTGAAATAACTGCGAAATATGTGCATATGTGCAGCAGACAATAACAGATTCATGTTAAGCAAAGATGATTTGAAATAATCGAAAAAAGGTCTTCAACTTTGTACTTGGTGTGGCCTTTTAACTTTTTGATCCGAGCTTCACTGATGAGTCTGTTGTAGACGACACGCAAGTCTGGCGTACACAACTATAAGCCTGGTATTTTTGAAGAGTTTATTTTACAAATAAATGATAACAGTTGTAGCATGAGGAGTTACAGTCACTATCATGACCACGTGAACGAAATGTAATACATGTTCACAGAATTGAAAGCTGCCACTGAATACAAAAGGTTTCCTTCTATATAGCGGCTTCCTTTATTATAAAAATAAAATAACAAATAATGCAATACAATAAAGGTTCATGCTTATTGACAAATACGTCGTTATCAAAATACCCGAAGATGGGAAAGTTAATATTAATAATGATATTAACATCTTGAAATGTCAGCAATTTATTGGAATTCTTTTATGATCTTGAATTTACATTTAAATGAGGTTATTTTTTCCGTTGAGGTTGATGATTTCTTTACTCTGTTTATCACCCTGTCTTAAAATCGTATGACACAAACATGTATCTATATAAAAATAAGGAGATGTGGTATGATTGCCAAGAATACAACTATCCACCAAAGTTCAAATGAAGTGGATGTAAGCAATTATAGGCAACCGTAGGTCCTTCAACAATGAGAATACCC